AGCAGAAGTCAGGCCAATCTAGGAAACTAGTGCAGCAAAATTAGGCAGTAGTTGTAGAGATGGTGAGAAATGGCCAGATTCTGGGTATGCTTTGAAGGCAAAGTTATAACTTACTGCCAAATTAGCAAGGAATGTGTAAGAAAAAGGGGAGTCAAGGATGAATTCAAGGGTTTTCACCTGAGCAACTGTGTAAATGGAATTGTCATTTGTTGGAGAATGGGGAAGCTGGAGAGTTAAAGGCAGGTTTAGGAGGGAAAATCAAGAACTGGGGTTAAGGTACATTAACTTTGATAGGCTTATTAGACATTCTAGAGGAAATGTTGAGTGAGCTGATAGATCTGTATATCTGCAGCTCAGGTAAAGGTCCATACTGGACAACAGGGGGTAAGTCATTGGTATATAGATGGAAACTCAAGCTACAATTCTGGATGGTGAGCGTGCCTAAAGCAGAAAAACAATCTAAAGAGAGCATCCTGGGGCATTATACTGTTTTTGAGGGAGAGAGGAAGATCCAGAAATAATTTGTAACATGCAAGTCAAGAAAGTATTTCTTAAAAGTAGAGAGTGACTAGGGCACCTGGGTGGCTCAGTTGGTCAAGCATCTGTCTCTTGGTTTCGGCTCAGGTCATGATCTCAGGGTCGTGAGATCAAGCCCCGCTTTGGGCTCAGGGCTCAGCATGGCGTCTGCTTGAGATTCTCTCTCCCTCACCTTCCCTCTGTCTCTTCCTCTGCCCTCCCCTGTTTCTCTCTCTCAAATAAATAAATAAAATCTAAAAAAAAAAAAAAAGTAGGGACTCACCTTGTCAAGGCAGCTGCTAAGTAAATTAAAATAAGAACTGAAAATTGGCCATCTGATTTGACATATTCATGTGTGCCCTTGACAAGAGAAGTTTCTGTGGAATGATAGGTAAGAAAGCCTCAGAAATGAGTGTAATAAAAGATAGGAGGTAAAGTGGACATGATGTATATAGTTAACTTTTTAAGAGAGTAAAGGAAAGGGGAGCAGAGAAATAGGTGGTAGTGGGAGGGAAATTACCAGTTACATCAGAAGAGGGATCTCATATGTTCTTATTGGGGCAGGAAAAGGGTCAAGTTTGCCTGTGATAGCGCCTTCTGCCTCTGATAGTCTTTGGAGTGGGCAATGCCCCCTGCTTCTTGGGTACTATTTTCCCCATAGGACTGATGAGTAAAGCCTGTACTGACATAACGTGTAATCTGGTCTTTCTTGGCTTGGTCAGAGCCTGGTAGTGCTTCCTGGCTGACTCCTTCCTCTCCCTGAGCAGAGCAGTTCACCCTTAGCTCAGAGGTCACCTGGTCCTTCCAGGGGGACACCATGATAGGAACACTGCTCTCAATGCAGGGACCACGCCACGCTCCACTGAAGGTGGCTACACTGAGACCCAACACTCCTTTATTGTACCATCCTGCTCAGACTAGTTTACTTTGATGATGCCTATCCCAGAGTGATAGACAGCAGCTCGCCTTCCACGTTAAGTTTATTTGATGAAAATTTAACACCCAAGGACACCCATGCTCCCATGGCAAAACCCAGAGAGTAGAAAATTATCATTATGTTCATTCTCCTCTCTTACCTTCTCTTTCTTCCTTCTCCTGCACTTAATTCCCCAAAACAGAAAGCAGGCAAGCTTTCTCTACATCTGATCCCCCTTCCATAAGGAACAGCAAATCCTAAGACAGAAAATATTTTCTTTTCATTATAAGAAAACCCTGTGATCTTGAACTCATTCTCTAGTTTTCCAGGCTAGCTTATTAATTTAAATGGGTCAGAGAGAGGAAAGTCAAAGAAATATAGCAAATCCATTCTTAAAATAATGCCCTGTCCTTCAGAGTCATTCTCCTGCCACATATGCCTATTGTGTTTGTTATAAACTGAAGAGTACCTTCGCTTTTTCCTCCACATTTTTTTCCAGAACTTTTCTACTTGCTAATTTCCTCCTCTATAATCTTCCCACCCCCTAGCAGATACATGCCTTGGGCTACACGGGAACGACATGATAATCAGAAAGACAAATGAGAAAAAGCTCCAAAGGAAAGGCTACAGCAGGTCTATCCAGACAGATCATTCCACACAGACTGGCTTGTGTTACTTTCACTACACCTCAGTTCTGCAGGCTCAGAATCATACCTTTACAGCATAAAGGGGACATATCTCCCATGGGTGGACTCACATTAAAGTCCAGAACACTGATGGATAAAACATGAGTGCCAGATTATTGATTTACAATGAGAACTTGAACTGAACATTCCTATCCCCCAGCTGATGCATTTTCTCTCCCCTCAAGCACACTGCCTAGGAAGTTCAAGCTTTCATCAGAAGGTTGCTTGTTGAGAATAGACTCAGGTCAAGTTGAGTTAATTATATGATTCCAACATTTAATGTCATCAAGCCTCTAGCCTGGAGCATCCATTTCCATAGTGTGATATACCTTCAAAAGACCCATCCTTCATTCTGGAAAATTTCTTCCCTCAGCTCAGGGCTGAATGAGCCCTGAGTCCTGTCGTCTTTTGTCTCTGAGAAGCTCTTTTCAATGCTTCTATGACCAACAAGCTTCCTTTTTGACAAAACTTATTTCTTTAGACATGATAATACAGCACTTTCAATCAAGATACAGTTTTTCAAATGTAGTGATTTTGTGTCTTCATTATTTATTGATTATAAAACTTAACTCAGAGCAACGTGCCCAAACTTCCCTCATAATTAGAATCACTTAGGGCCCTTCATTAAATATATATATATATATATATAATTATATACATATTACATATATATGGGCTCCTGGGTGACTCAGTCGGTTAAGCATCTGCCTTTGGCTCAGGTCATGGTCCCAGGGTCTGGGATTAAGCCCTGCATCAGGTTCTCTGCTCAGCAGGGAGCCTGCTTCTCCCTCTCCCTCTGCCTGCCACTCCCTCTGCTTGTGCTCTCTCTGTCAAATAAATAAATAAAATCTTAAAATAATAATAATTATATA